AACTAAGAGGAATCAGCAGTTACCTGGGTTCGAGGAATAGGGATTCTGATGTGCAGAGGTTCATAATTTGGCATAATTTGCTTTAGTTGTTTGGTCATTTAGGCAAATTGGAAATGGTAAGGAGTGTCATGTCCTGAAACAGCAGAATAGCATGGATACTAAAGATTCCAGACACTTTGGTAGATGAAAATATAAGCAGAAAAGTCTCTCTTTTGATTTCTGTGACATCTGAGGTTGTCCCATCCCTGAGTCTGGCTCCTTCAGAGGAGTTTACAGATAGAGAGATAGGAAGGGTCTGGGGGGGTCAGCTGTCTCTACATTCACTATATCATTCATTTGTGCCTTTTTCTTCTCAGTGTTGCTAACAACCACAAGCAGAATTTGATGACAGTGGCAAACCTTGGAGTGGTGTTTGGACCCACCCTGCTGCGGCCTCAGGAAGAAACAGTAGCAGCCATCATGGATATCAAATTTCAGAACATTGTCATTGAGATCCTGATAGAAAACCATGAAAAGGTAATATATAATTGGTCGCTTGCCATGCAGAATTTACTTTGGGGGAAGCTGCATTGGAACTGGCCTTGAGAGTTGACTCAGTTTTGCATTGCTCATGGCTCTGGCACTGTGACGATGATGAAGTTGCTGGTAGGGGTAATGCTAGTGGTTATGATAAATCACAAGGGGTGCTGGAGGTGGCAACAGTGGTGGTTATGGTGGCAGCAGTGGTGGGAGCATGTATTGAGCATCTGTTCTGTGCCAGGAAATGTGCTAAGCACTTGATATATGTTATCATTTTATCCTTCAATCCAGTGAAGTAGGTACTATTGTGAGCCTCATTTTGAAAATGCCTTTTGTGCATGTTTTACTTGGTTGTCTTCTGATGAATTTAAGAGTTTTTTTCATACTAGGGATATTAAAATTTTTTCATTTCTGTTGTAAATAATTTTCTTGTAGTTTGGCTTTTGATTTTATAAATAGTATTGCCTTTTGTGCATGTTTTACTTGGTTGTCTTCTGATGAATTTAAGAGTTTTTTTCATACTAAGGATATTAAAATTTTTTCATTTCTGTTGTAAATAATTTTCTTGTAGTTTGGCTTTTGATTTTATAAATAGTATATTTTTTCAAGCTCTGTGTGTGTGTGTGTGTGTGTGTGTGTGTGTGTGTGTGTGTGTGTGTTCTCTCTTTTCCTTTAAGGCACTGGCGTTTCTGGGCCTTCTTAAGAAGGTCCCTCTACCCCACATTATGAAGTATGTCAACACAGAGCTTCTCTTATAAAACTGGGGGTAGGGGGACATGAAGCTTCACTCATCTGTCCTACCTCATTGCTCCTAGTAGCACATTCCTATGAAGCTTCTCAGAACTTATGCAGGGTTCCTAGGATAACTATTGGCAGCCATAATCTGGGATCTAATAAAAAATGCTGCTTCTCATAAAATCTTTGCCTAGAATGGTGAATTAATCATGTTAAATAACCTGCAAAATAAATCTAGAATCTAACCACTCCTCACCACCTACACTGATAACACTTTAATATAAGCCATCATCATCTCCGTCTGAATTTTTATAACAGCCTTCTAATTTGCTTCCTTGTTTCCACCTTTGGCCTGTCTATTCTGATATTAGCCACCATAATGAGATTTTTAATCATATCACTTGTCTGCTATGACTTTCTGTTGCACCCAGAGGGAAAGGTCAGAGTCCTCACTAGAGCCTATAAGGTCTCTGCTCTCCCCCAATCCTCCCCCTCACTGTTATTTACCTGATTTCATTTCCTATGTCTTTCCAACTGCTTTGGCTGCCTTGCTGTTCCTTGGACATGGAAGGCATGTTCCCACCTCAAGGCATTTGCAGTTCCTGTCCCTATTGCCTGACATGATCTTCCTCCGCAAAACTACATGGTGTGTTTCCTCACCACTTCAAGCCTTCTAAGTGAGGCCCACCTAGATCTCTTTATTTAAAATTGCAAACAATCCCAACCTCCAGCATTCTTTCTCCCCTTTTCCCTGCTTTACCACTTTGTTGTTTATTTAGAATTCATTACCTTTTTGACCTCCACTAGCATGTATGCTTCATGAAAGTAGGGACTTTTGTCTCTTCTGTGCACTGCTTGTCACCAGTTCCTCATTCTGAGGGTGGCATTCTTTGTGGTGATTCAGCAACCCAGGTTCCTTCTATCTTGTAGCTCTGCCTTCCACTCTGCAGATTCCCTGCAATCAGCTGGCAGTTGGAGGAAGTCAGAGAGCATGGAAAATCGGATAAGATTCATGGGATAAGATTCACGCTTGGAAGATGCTTGCTTTATTTTGTCCCTGCATTCCATTGGCTAGAGGTCATTCACATGGCCACATCTAACTGCAAGGGGGTCTGGAAAAGCAACCTAATTGTGCACCCAGAGGAAAGGAAAGGAAGTTCCATAATCAACTCCCCAGTCTGTCACACCTATCAATTGGATTTTTGTGAGGATTAGATTAGGTGATTTATGTAGAGGACTTAGCCAAGATCCTGGCGTGCAGGAAACTTCAGTAACTAAACAATTGTTTTTAGCAGTCACAACGGAATTCTCTGGAAGTAGAGCTCAAGTCCAACTCCAAATGTCACATGTGCCCCTCCCTCCAAATAGTACTTTTTGTAAATAAATCATTTCTTAAATAAAATAATTTTAAATGTTAAGACATATCTCTAAAGAAAGAGCACTTTGATTGTGTTCGTTGTCCCTTAAGGAGGACATATTTGAGCTTATAGCAGGCAGCGTCTGATGATTTTTGAACTATACTGTTTGTGGTGTCCTTGGGCCTTCAAAGCCAGAAAATGTGTTCTAAAATAGTATGATAGAAAGAAGGATCTGATGCTACTAGGAACAATATTGAAACTTGTATGAAAAAACAGCCATCCTGCCTTGGGAACAACATGTAGAAATAGGAAGGAGGTATGAAATGCATGGCAGGACCTATAAATATATGGACAAGAGGCTGCTGAGAATTCTTACCTAGTTTGGTGGGTTATATATTATGTTACTGTCTGAGGTTTGGAATATGGCAGCTTGACTCCATTTTAAATGTAGCTTTGGTCCCAGCCTGGTATAAAGTGAGGAAACGCTGCCTCAGTCTCCTTTAGAAACCTGTGGAGTTCACCTCACAGGAAACCTAAGCATCCACAGCCATGCTCTGGCCTCTGGCTTTCTGGAGACAGCACTTTAGATAAACTCCCTGCCAATAGAACTTAACTTGAGCAATCAAATCCAGAGAATTTTTATGTCCACAGAAGAATACTGTCAGAGACTTTTTCTTGAAAATCTGCAATATTCAGGTCTTAGTTAATAATATTTAATGAGCATTCCATTAGGCTTGGCTATAATTTTCTAGAAACACACACACACGTCTGTCTAGGAGTGATACTTTTCTGTCTAACCTTTAGTGTAAGAAGTTGGACGAAACCCTGAAACCCCACTTGAAGAAATGCTTCCCAGCAGGACTTGTTCGTCCTTTTCATATAAACATACGCTTTCTTGCTTGAAGCAAGCCTTGATACAGCACTTAAGTATATGTCCTCAACAGTTACTGGCATAGTATTCTCTCATATTGTTAAGAAGGTATTTACTTTGTGCCTTGGAAAAATGATTAGGAGGGATTTAGGAATAAATAGAAGATAGTGCCGAAAAGAGGGTGTGGAAACCCAGACAGCTAGCCATTAGAGCCACTCCATAGACAGAGAGAGAGGACCTTAAGATGCCTGTTTTAGTTTTCTATTGCTACATGATAAATCATCTCTAAACCTAGTGACTGAAAATGGCAATGATTTTATTACTTCCAATTCTGTGGATCAGAAACTTGAGGAGGGCTCGTGTGTGTCCCTTCTGGTATCAGCTGGGATGGTTTGGGACTGGAAGATCCAAGATGGCCTCACTGCACATGTCTGGGACTTTGGTACTAGCTGTTGACCTTGATCCTCCTCCGCATGGCCCGCCTCTGCCTCTCCATGTGATCTCTTGTTATTCAGTAGTCTAGCCCAAACTTCCAAGAGGACAAACACAGAAGGAGCAAAGGCTGTTACGACCTAGACCTGGAACAAAGAATCAAGTCCAGCCAGATTCAAGGGGAGGAAACTAGACTCCACCTCTGGATGGGAGGATCATTGTGTACACATAGGCAGGGAAAGTCGTTGGCTGCCATCTTTGCAGGCAATCTGCCATACCTGGCAAGTTTGCATTTAGTTTCCTTTGGGGAGGCCTTGCTTTCTTATCAGTGGCTCGTGCTGCACGGGGGCAACTGCTTATTGTTTTGTATGGGAAGGGTTCTTCAGTTTCTCCTCAGCATTGTCATTTTTTACACAACTGGGGACATCAAACATTTGGTGGCAATGGCAAGCTCAATCCTCAAATACCTTTTTTAAGCCTCAGTGTGGAGAACTAACTCATAAATGTCTAAAACTGGAAAAACATTTTTGTCTTTGTAATTGGCATTATAAAAAGGGGGAGAGAAAGAAAGGGAATACTTGCTAGCCAGAAAATTCAGTTTCCTTAATCTGATAAAACATCTTTTTTTCAATAGAAGGATAAAGAGCTCTGTGTTCTAACTGACTAAAGCATATGATCTTTTCTCGGTCTCTCTCTATCTGTCTCTTTGCTTATTTACTAAGAGTTAATACTAGACATTCAGCCCAAGAGTTAAAAATGAAGACAAACTACTTTAGATTGTCAATAGCACATCCGCACACCCTCAAGCTAGTACCTATGTGTCTAGAAATACCCCCGCTGAGCCTCTTTTCACAGAGACCTCACCTGTGTCTCCTTCATGGGAGCCTCAGTGATGTGTTTCACACACACCTTCAGCTTGGTCAGATAAAACCCTCTAGCCACATACTTACCCTGTCACAGTGGTCTAGAAACTCTGTCCTCCACCTCCCCCAACAGACCCAGGAGAACAGTGTTGGCATAGTTCAAGGAGATAAATATCCCAGTGTGAGAAGAAGCAGAGAGGAAAAAGCCAAAAGATATGGTATTATGTTTGGGGCTTATGGTAATTTTTCTTTTTCCATGTTGGTAATACGTACTGATTTATTTACTCAGTTGAAGTTAATGGATCTTTTTAATGAGCACAGTCCAGAGATAATAATAATAGTGATAACTAACTTTTACTTACAGCTTACTGTATACAAGGTATTGTACTAAGCAGTTTCATATTCATCATCTCATTCAATTCACACAGCAACCCACTAAGGTCAATATTTTTAGGTCTGTTTTACAAATTATGAGCCTGAAGTGCAGAGAGTTTAAGCAACCGCTGGTCAGGAGAAGTTGAACTTCAGATCGCTTTCAGAACCCAAGCGATTAAAGTCTACTCCGGTTAACCTCTGTTCAATGCAATAAATGTTACTGAGTATCTCCTGTTGGCCGAAGATAAGTGACAGGTCCTTATATTTCAAGGCACTCCTATTTTATCAGGATTTGACTAACCATAATGACATCTGGTAAGATGAATAAAGTGTTATGGCACCACCGAGGAGAAGTAATTGAAT